AGCATCGACGGACGACGTCATTGATTTCTATATCACAAACGATAGATACCCTGTAAATAAAGTTAGTGATGTATTCAGATCGTCAATGATCGTCAATGATTGGAGGTAAAAGGTTGAGCTTTCGCGGGAGTGTTGACGGTATCTTGAGGGTGCCCTGGGCGCTTATCAGAAGCAAGGAAGTCACGTTGAATCAGGCCGAGATTAAGGCGCTAAAATTGCGTCCTGATTGTATTGGAGAGAATGAGAAATCGAGCTATCGATTGGTAAGTAATGCAGAAGATATTACTTTTGCCCTGAAGAGCTTGCTATTCGATTCCCTTTCGAATAATGAATATCAATACGTTTGCACTAGCAAGGACGTGAATATACCCTACTCCTTGCCACGATCCCTCTGCTCGTATATCCGTGGGCCAAAGGAACACACAGGCAGATGGTGGTAGTTGGAGTGAGAGAAGCGAATCAGTTGCTACGTCGCCGCCGTTTCCGGTTTTTGGCACTAGGTTGGGCAGGTTCGACTCCCACTCTTGCCACCTCAAGAAATTATTTAGGGCTACTCTTTAACATTATAGTACATTCGGAGTCCATTGAAGTAATTTACCGTTAATCAAAGTCGCCGCAGGATCATCGATTACACCTGATTCGAGTTGGAATTGCGTGGTTCAACCTCTACAAGCTGGGGAGAATCATCATCAGGATGATTTCAGAGCGACAACAAGAGAAGACGTGTGTCCTCTGAAACACCTTCATCTATTGGTGTTATGAAAAGGATCTCCATCTTTTCGAGCATACAATCGCATGCATTATCCGTATCATCGACCCTGCTTTTAACACTACAAAATCAAGATAAACAACAGATCAAGCACCAGAGAAGTGACAGGCTTCACATTGCAAGTATGTTGTTCACGTATTCAATTGCAGAGTCGCCTTGAAAGGAATGGTTAATAGTCATTACCTTTGCTGAGTGCAAGATGTCCGATCATCCACACGTCCTTCTTAACAACTGCGCAATATTAGTAGAGCAAGTGAACGGAAGTGAATTCAAGATACTGACGCAGATTTACCGTGATTACTGCGGCAGTTTGCACTATTCTGTCATCTTGATTAGCAGATTAAGATAATCACAATACAAGACCGACACAGGCTGTAATGATGAGCCTAGCATAGACATAATAAGTCGCATCATCTTGGTACTTGGATATCCTAGGAGAAAGTCAATCAAGCTGTTTCGAATCTAAACATCCAGCGAACCATCGCACCACGCTCTCTCGCTTGGTTCCCAAACAATAGCAAGAGAATATGGTTATAATGACGTCGAATGACGTCGTAAACGCCAGAACAGACACGCAAAACAATTACGAAGCATGAAAGTCAGCATCCGCAACTAAACCAATGAAACTCCACCGACGGAACCTACTACGCCACCTGAATATATTGAGAATGGTAGGTGCGAAAAGGGTTTGATGGTGACAACTGTTGAAGGAAGGTTGAGGGATCCTGAACAGGGGGGGAAGTGGAAACGCACCAATGCTTGCGCCTTCAGAATCAAGAAACACTGTGTCAAATGAAATCTTGAAAAGGTACGAGCCTTACCGAGGGCACATAAGGCGACTGTTGTCAGAGCTATATGCATCCATGGCTTTACGGAAGGTGCTAGTTGAGATGGTTAGTGGGGTCTTCCATTGACATAAATCGCACCTATCCAAGTTCGAATAATAAAAAAATCTGGAGCGTTACATCAACAAGGATAGGACTTGAAAGCCATATAGACACACACCCTTGAACGGCAAACACCATGAAGCACTGAAGCAAAATGTTAGTCAGAGCTCATTTCTACCATCCACAGAATTTATACCGCATTCTCTAGCTACAAGAATGAGCACTGAGCCAAAATGGTTCTGAGCAGATTAGGTACTCACTGCAAATGTCCTGGAGAAAACGAGTCAGAGCTCCCACGATCTTCCGTCGTAAATAAGGCGAAGGTGATTTACGGGAATGGATACATATTTTTCCGTTTATGATCTTCGCTACAGAATGGGAGACAACCACCGTACAACAAGTATCGACAACCTAAGTGAACATTATTCAAGTCAGAACGTGCGTACGGTGCAAGGTAGACATGCCATAAAGCGAACACCTTGGCATCCACGAATGACATTGTAACTTTTGGATAAAGGGGCACGTACCGTAAACCTGAAGGTTCTCGAATCCCCTCTTCGGTATCGATTAAAATATAGACTGACATGTGAAGTGGTCACCATGTAAATCCTACTGGCATGTCAGGATGGGTACCGGTCCCTAGGGAAAATGAAATGACACGCACGCAACGGTAAGTGCGACAACAACAAGCTCATATCCAAGAGCAATAGAATCAGACCACATAGTTATTACTGAGACCGGCTACAGCAATGAAAGGAAATACGGGAATGGGCCTGACAAGTCGTGTATATCGCCCTCGTATCCTGAGCGGCGTGTTGGATACCGATGCGCAGGGAACTTGTTTCACGACATAAAGCGCTTGCAATCCTTGACCAGATTGCAATAAGTGACGGATCCCGTCATCGCCGGTATCGATGGTGGCGTCGGGCGGGTCATTCGAATTTCCTTTGAACACACAAGTGGCGAGTGAAAGCAGGCGCTTTCCAGACAGTAATAATAGAGATCAGATCATAAATGGCCTCCTGGTCTGGCCAAACGGTGGCGGTACTCTCGCTGCAGTCGCAGGTCCAGTGCACCATCTGATTCAACTCTGGATCGTCTTAGAGCCTAAGAAGCCATGCAAATTGAAGATATTCAGGGCGAGGCACAGCATTTGGTCACAAATGAGGTGAGGGCGTAGCCATGGCGGGTAGTAGGCTATTCAACGATCATCAGTGCTTCATCGATTATTTTACTATGCGCTGGCGTCATATTTTACAAAACGTCACTTAGTTGGGACTGCACATACCTCGTATAATCGCCTTTACGGCAAGCTAGAAAGGTGGTTAGAAGGAAAATCTGAAATAGGAATCTTGAGGCGTGCGGTCCGGATACGGATATTGGTCGGAAGATTATAACAAGGTGGCTGAAACTTGCATCCGCATGGAAGATCCGTAGTGAGCGCTCGGCGCGTGGCGTAGAACAACAGCCTGCGCTAACTCTTGGATCCAGTAAATCCAAAGAGCAATTTTTTGGATGATCAGGTATAACATTTGTCAGTAGAGCCCCAGAAATCCTATAAAGACAGCTCAATCTATAGGAAAGCCCTCAGCAACCCACCAAATCTCAAACCTCAAAGCTCCAAACAGCCTAACCGCCGTTCTTAGACATCATGTTGGCTGTTCGTATACACAGTCCTCTCTTTCCTCACCTTATACTGATAATTGACTCATTGATATTCGACAGACCACCGAGGTCCCCGTCTCCCAGACTTGCAGCACCGCTTCGTGCAGCTGCAGCTCGTAAATACTGTCGTTTTGTCATTCGGAAACTGTGCGCTGAATATGTCTTGCTTTACAGCTGTTCCTGCGCTACCGGCCAATGTAAGTGCTCGGAGTGCAAGCACTAAACCGATGCTGTAATGAAACCTTGCCGTCACCCTGTAGTAGTTAATAGTCAAGATAGTTGGTGACACGGGGAGTTAGTTACATAAATCAAATTGAAAGCACTACCTGCTGGATTCTCCGATGAGAAGACAAAGAGAAGGAAGAGTAATGCGAAAACCAAGCATCTTCTTTGCAGATCGTACAGAAGTATCAAAACCGCAGCAGCAAGGTCATCGATCGGGATAGGAACGATTCATGTAGAGAATTTCCCCAGGAGTGACTTCAAATAATTCCAAAGGCTAGAGTAGTTACATACTGAAAGACCGTAGATAAAACCGGATGAAAGGTGAAAAATACAACTGAAAAAAATCAATCAGTCCTTATCCATTATTGTCAAGCGAGACCGCAGGCGTTGCAGTGCCGTCGTAGCCCCTGAAATGCTTCGATTGGGATTCATGCTTCTCTGACAGGCCCCGTTTCTGTCGCCCAGTGCGCCCGGCTTCCCGTATCAATTTTACGTTGTCGCACCAGTCGATTTCTTTTCCAGAGGGTTCCTCGATATCCTCGGCGAAGGCCCTCAAGGTCTCATAGAACAAACAAGGTTTTTCCAACTGTGCAAGTTTCTTTTGTTGCAAGGCGCGTTCGGTGGCAGCTGCAGCTGCAGACTTGGAACGTGTACCTTTGACTTTTTTTATACCGAAAAGCAAAAGTTTCGCACAATTCTGTCAAACAATCTTCGAGACCAGGGACCTTCAGCCCGATATCGCCGCTGAAGGTGTCCGATATCAAAGCGTTGCGTTTGTGTCTGCCCCCTACATCGCGCTGCTGAGGTAGGGCTACATACATGTCGAAGATGGACAATGTATCTTTGAGAAGTTCGGGAGGTAAACTGTGTCGAAGGTTCCGCAAGGCCACCCAGACAAGGACGTAGAGAGCCGATTCTCGATCGTCAACGACTGTGTGTTCCGCGTTTGGATTGTCAAGCAGATGTGCTGAAATGAATTGCCAGGTGCCCTGGGTACCAATCAATCATGATACACATACCGTTAAGAAATACGGGAAGATCCACGAACATGACTAACCAGGACACAGTGGTCCCAATCAATCAAAATCCCTCGTCTATCTTCCCGATTCAGAGTCATCATGATGTTCCCAACGCTGATATCCCAGTGTAGAATCCCTGCGAGCTCATAAGCTTTTTGGTGCGCTGTCAACCATTCATAGTCAGTGAGTGTATCGCTCAAACTCGTGAATACACATACCTTCCATGGCGTCCGCGAGACAGGAGACGAGCTGCTTTGCAGTTTCGGACGATTCCAACGGGCGACCTTTAGTAACGAGGACAATGAGATGCCCGATAAGATGTCGAATCCGGTGGTGCGCGCGTGCCCAGACCTTCGACCCGTAGCTATGACCCATAGTCTCGAAACCACTGTCACCACCAAGTTTCATTTCAGCGACATGCGGAATTTCATGTTTCGCAAGGAGTTGATAGACTTCAGACTCTGGTATAGTGTGCGGCGCGTCCTCCCTCCAATAATCCTTATAAAACAGCGTCTGGCTCTTGCGCACGCAATAAGCCATACCATGCCGGGTAGCTCTTCCGAAAGGAGAATATCCGCCTTGATGCCAACTTGGTGCGCCAATGATGAAAACTCGTTGACTGGACCCTGAACCCACCGTTAATCGCACAAGAGCAAGCTGATTCACGCTCATCTCCTCTCTAACCTCGTCCAACGCCTTGCCTCGCCAGCATCCAGGGGCATATCGCTTGAATGCAGCCCTTGCACTGCGGCCTTGGACCTTCGTGGGGATAGATATTCTACGATCACGGCCGCGTTGTGCGAGGGTAAGCTGGGCGAAGCGTTTGTAGAATCTGAACAGAATAAGTGGATGTTCAGCGTCATTGAATCGACGGCTGGCGATTACAGAGGAGTGGTCCCACCAAAGCAGCTGGCCATAGGAACTGAAGATGAGGACTGTGAACAGATGAGTCCAGAATTGCATGGTCATCGTTGCCCCGGCGTAAGCACAGATCTGACCGTGAGTACGTTGCCCACGAAGGGTGTTGTTATCGAAAGGATAGTCCTCATCAGGCAAGGGTTCGGTGTCACCAGCTTGTTCTTCCTCCCTTCGGGTCTTCGTCATTTGCAACGTCAAGTTCTCCCAGATCTTCGGGTGGATAGTCTTCTTCGCATTCGTCAGCTTGGGTGCCATTGCCGTCATCCTCCACTTTATCAGCACGCATCATTCCCCTCGTATTGTTCAATGTCTTCGTAGTCGTCTTCTTCGCCGTCCGATACGGCATCTCCGTCACAGTAGGGATCATCCCACACCTTGGGCTTCATTTCGGTGTGAGTCTCGACGTTAGCGAAATCGAGCTTGCGTACGTCGCACCGCCTGACAGTCGGCCGACTGACATCAACGGCATTGACGTCCACCGAGAGCAAATCACAGAACTTATCCGGGGTGGCATAGCTGTCATTCCACTGAAGAACACAATGTGGATATCTCGGACGTCGGTCTTCAGGTTTCAGATCAAAAGGCCAACCGGAGAATGCTTCGAGCCGTGGAAAATATTAGACAATTGTAGCATGCACTATCTTGAAGAACATACAAATAATTCATAGGTTTTAGCTTCAGAAGCAGTAGCCATGTCTGTCAATTTCTTGAGTCGTTCTTTGGTGGGCTGGAACTTTCTGAATTGCATCGGAGTGGTTTCGTTCCATGGCAAGAACTCGTTCAACTCGTTCATAAAGTCGCGAGCTGGCATCGGGTCCTGGGCCATGCCACGCGTCTCTTCAGCGAGCTCAAGACGCCTGTATATCATCGCGGGGTTTTTGACAGCAAACGTTCCGTGACCAGCAGCTTTCTTTTTAATCGGAGTGTGTCCAACTGGCGGGGGGGGCGTCGGCTTTGGGAGCAACGACAGGTTGGTTGGGAGGAGCTCGAGCACCGTCACGGGTAGAGTCTGACATTAGGGGAAAAAGTAAGAAGAGAGCATAAATTAGGAAGAAGGTGATGAGAGAACAGGACCTCCAATTCATCCGTTATATATCGGATTTCAGCGTGAAGCGAGGCTGGTCGCAAATGAAGAAATTGCATTGTGCCACTCACATTTAAAGGTGCCCTAAGATAACAATAGAAATAGTGACGTTCCCAGTAATCGTAGGAAGAAAGAACAACAGCAGCTCTTTTGAAGAGGACTGAAGCGAAGCAAAGTTCAAGTTCGAGAATGAACTTGCGGCAGCAGCGGCCCGCTCGATCGTTCAACCGGCATTTTCCAGCGGGGTCTGAGTTATTTCCTTTTCGACTGGCTGTTGCCGAAGGCTGTTGGCCGGCTATTAAGCTGGTATCTTCCATTTACACTACTTACCCATGGATGCTCTTCCTGCACCGACGACTTCCAGGATGATGCTACCACGCTCGAGAGCAGCATCTTTAGCGGCTAGCTCACGGTCGCGCTCCCGTGCCAGCTCCAGATCCGGTCCACCGATACCGTCTGTATCGCCAGAGCCAGAACAAACGGCTTCGCCTGCGAAACAACGGCCCACGAAGAGAAGAAAAAAGAGTACATCAAACGCGACTCCGCGGAAACGGCGGCGCAAGGAGACAGTGCAAGAGGAGGATCCCTCAACTGGACCTAACGGTGTCGCCGTCGAGGAACTCTCCACTGTGCCTCTTGTGTCCCCGGACGTCGACCAGGAACCGGTCGCGGGGCCGTCAGAACTCCCTCCTGAAACAACAGCTGAAGACAATCGTGAATCCGAACCAGAACCACTATCTTCCTACAACTGTCCAATATGCTTCACTCCGCCCACCAATGCGACGCTCACCCCGTGCGGGCATATATGTTGCGGGTCGTGTCTTTTTACTGCTGTGAAGGTTGCCAAGCGAAGGGCAGGTCTCATGATGGGTGGAGGAGAATTATTGGCCAAGTGAGATTTATTTCGTATTTTTTGATCATCAGGCAACTGAGTTATTTTGCAGGTGCCCCGTATGTCGCGCTACAATCCCCGGATGGGATGGGAGAGGGGGTGGTGTTATCGGATTGAAAGCTCGCACCCTGTTCAGCGTTGAATGACGCACTCATTTTTCACAATCATTCTTGCTTTACATGTCGCATTCCGTTCACCTCTGGCCTCTGGTAAATTACCTATATCAACGTTCTTCTGATGGTTGTTGACCTATTTTCCAGCAATATTATACCTTGATTGATGCATTGTTTTTGATGTGTGGAACAAACGCCGTCTTACTGGTTGGGCCCATGCCAGGCATTGAAGGTGGTTTGATTTGAAAATACACAACGATATGCCTTATTTCAGGACCCGCGCCATCATTCTCTCATTGATCTGAAAGATACACCCCCGATTGATGCAGTAGTTTCGTATATAAACACTACGGAAATACATGATGCGCTCGTCGCTATGAAGGTTCTCACCCCCGATCTAGCAGCTCTTGTGGGTCTCTGGTGTACAACCGTTTTTTATGGTATGATATTTGAATGATTCGTACTTGCATTCTCACTGACTGAACATCGTCCAGGAGTCAAGTGTGTGGTTTTATGATTGTCGCTATCTCTCTCATTTGCTCTCCACTAGTCTCGTCCTATACTTCTGCTGTCTGCACGTTCTAATCAGGCGTAGGACATCGACTTCATGGTAAGTATTGCTCACGAGGCCTTCAGGTCAATTCTGATTTCTTGGTAACCTAGGGTCCTCCTTGGTGCTGCGACCGTGCAGTTCGTACTTTCGACAGTCCATATTGCTGCAGGCCTAAGGTCCATGATCGAGGGATTCATTTGGAGCAATCAGGTGCCCGAAGGCTCGTACTACTATTGGGAGGACATGACACGTCCCGTGTATATCTTGCAGGAAGCGACAACTGTTACTAATGTGTGTTTTTCCTTGTTCGCCATCTCATGGTGAATGGTATTTAGGCGTCCTTCTCAGTGTCTCATCGGCGACAGCATACTCGTCTGGCGTTTGTACGTCATCTGGGATAAGAGGATCCTTTTGTGTCTCTTCCCCGTGCGTTGGCATTTTTTCTACCATACCATACAGGTAATATCCTGTGTACAGGTGTCTGTTGTACTCGCTTTTGGTGGTAAGTTTCCATTTATCACGAGAAGTTCATGATCATCTTTCTGATGGGTATCCACAGTCTGCGGTTACATCTCCGTTTACCGCATATCTCATCTCAGTCTATCAGACGTTCATATGGTGGACGATGTTCTCAACTGGCTGCAAGCCACATGGTCTTTATCACTTGTCACCCAAATCCTCGTAACCACGTTGATTGCAACACGCATCTGGTGGTTGTCAAGACGGGCGTTGACCCGGACATCTAGAAAGCAGTCCAATCCGTATATGACTGTTATATGGACTGTAGTCGAGTCTGGCGGCGTATATGCTTTCACTGCAGCTCTGATGCTCGCTTTCTTTACGCAGCGTAGTCATGTGAGTACGGTCATGGGTGATGCCTTGGGGCAGATTAGTGTATGTGATGGTATATTCTTTCCGTCTGACTGGCTGCTGATGAGTCTGTTCCACAGGCTATTGTACCTTCCTTGATCATAGTCAGGGCCGGTTTGGGATATTCTCAAACGGGGCTGTCGAGGGACTCGAGCTCTGCGGGCTCCAGATATGGAGGTCCCTTGCACATCACTGTGGATCAAAGTGTGTCGTACGACCAGGGATACAAGCTTGAAGGGCGCGATGAATATGGGGGAAATCGTCACAGTACAAACGGTGTTTAGGGTGTCTTCTTTACACAGTGTATCGGTACTGGTACTCAAGCTTTAAGCAGTAGCCTTATTATTATTATCCATGGTTCTTGTTGAATAATACTTGGTTGTTTCGATTCTCTCTTGCAAGTCGGATGGCGGGCCGTCTCTATTTGGACCACGAGGCGTTGGCCCGAGAGGCAAACCATCGTGGACACGTCGTCTTTCCCTTTTCGGTCCTGCCAGGAAATACTCGAAGATCCTCCGTTACACCCACTTTCACTCCCTCCTTCCCTCCTTCCACAATGTCCTCGACATACGAGGAGGATAAGAGCCTGCTGGAAAAGCTCGATGAAGTGGTCCCGGCACCTTTGGCACAGTTCGATGCATTCCCAAAGCTCCCGTCGTCCTTCAAGTCGCGTTCGGAGTCGAGAGGATTCATCACTCTCTTCGTCGGATTCCTGGCTTTCCTACTGATGCTGAACGATATTGGTGAGTTTATCTGGGGCTGGCCAGACCACGAGTTCTCTGTCGACAGGGACCCATCGAGTTTTATGAACATCAATGTGGATATGGTCGTGAATATGCCTTGTCGGTGTATGTGCTGGCGTTACAAGATGTATTTCAGTCATTTATGCAAGAATTCCCAGATATAAGCGTCGACCTGCGCGATGCTATTGGTGATAGGCTATTTCTGAGTGGACATGGGCTACGAAGGGACGGGGTGAGTGACAAGCGCGTTCTTATTCACTATCCTTGCCCTGATGTCGCCCCAGACTAAATTCGATGTCGGGCAAGCTACGAAACTCAAGTATGCATTCTTTGGCTCCCGTCCATGTAGCCGACTCACCAGTACGTTGCAGAGAGCATTCGGCAGCCCTGTCTGTACACCAAGCCGTTGCTCAGTCGAGAAATTCGCGTGGTTTCTTCGACACTATCTTTCGTAGAACACCGACGAATCTATTCAAGCCTACGTACAATTACGAGGCCCACGGTTCGGCGTGTAGAGTATGGGGGACTTTGGAGGTAAAGCGGGTGACCGGTATGTGTCCTGCATCCTCGTGCTTTTCCTGCTGACGCTGATACCTCAGCTAATTTACACATAACGACTCTGGGACATGGTTACGCTAGTCATGAACATGTTGACCATAAGCGTATGTATTGTGTCTACTCTTCGTAACCTGTCTGACGGCTCGCTCAGTCATGAATCTTTCGCATGTCATTAGTGAATTTTCTTTCGGTCCCCATTTCCCGGATATGACCCAGCCTTTGGACTACTCTTTTGAAGTCACACAAGATCGTATGTTTATCTTCGGCTCTCTGGACAGCCTTCCCTCATCTCTCTCCAGCCTTTGTCGCATACCAATACTTCCTTCACGTCGTGCCGACAACTTACATCGCACCTCGGGCTAAACCCCTTCATACGCATCAATACAGTGTAACCCACTACACACGCGTCCTGGAACATAATCGCGGAACGCCTGGAATTTTCTTCAAGTTTGACCTCGACCCGATGAGCTTAACAATACACCAGCGGACAACTACGTTTGTCCAACTCCTCATACGGTATGCTTGTGCTGCCGAGGAGATGCGCACTTTGAACTGATCTGCTATCTGACAGATGTGTTGGAGTTGTTGGCGGTGTCTTTGTATGCATGGGCTACGCCATTCGTGTCACTACGAAAGCTGTCGAAGTCGTAGCTGGTACTGATGACCCAGGACTCGTCGTAGCAGAGGCTTCTGGCGCCAAAATTGGCAAGGGACTACGTTCCAAATGGGGCGGTGGAGAGATTCGCTCAAGGAGCAAAATTGTCCGCCAGGGATCCGGCTGGACCATGGAAAGTAGTCCTGGTACGCCGAGCTATGCAACGTTCACCAGTACACCCCCGATTTCTGCAAACAACTCTCCGTACCTGCCATCCTCCGCATTTAGCTCGAACCCGGGCACACCAAGCTTCTCTACGCCGGCTTTTGGACCCAGTTCATCCAGGCCGTTTGCTATGCCGCCTCCTCCTGGTAGGGGGATGTTCACGGCTAATCTTGGGACAGAGACTGGGAGCCCATTGATTAATTCGACATCCTTCACACCTCCGTTACCTGGAACACCGACGTATTCTATGTTTCCTCCAACGCCTAATCCCGAAGCAGGCGGATTTCCTACGAGTGCGCCTCCGAGAAAGGTTAGTAGTGGACCTAAAAAGGATGATTGAGGGCTTTGGGTTCTGTAGAGGTTCTGATTTGCTGTATTACAGGAAGATTAAGTTTCTCTACCCTGCAGTTCTGGATCCAGGGATCGTACCAGATCAGATTGAGACGCAGTGTCCGAATGCAAGGACTGGGTATTTTTTGGTATACTTCTCAAAGAGTTCCATATCCATTTTCGAATAGGTCCTTGCACTCGTCGCTGTTTCTCATGTTTCTCCCTATCCCTGTAATACTGTAAACAAACATTTAATTCTCTCCGCGTTATGGCCGTCCTAAGGCAACAACTAAATTGAACTAATCCATCCCGTGGCCTAAACATGAATGTTGGTATTGGTAGCTTGGCGGCGTCGATATCAAGCACTGCTGCTACGATGATCTGATCATGAACTTCTCATGATAAATAGATACTCACCACCAAAAGCGAGTACAACAGACACCTGTACACAGGATATTACCTGTATGGTATGGTAGAAAAAATGCCAACGCACATGAAAGAGACACAAAAGGATCCTCTTATCCCAGATGATGTGCAAACGACAGATGAGTGTGCTGTCGCCGATGAGACACTGAGAAGGGCGCCTACGTACCATTCACCATGAGACGACGAACAAGGAAAAACATATACACAGCTCGCGTCATGTCTTCCCAATAGTAGTATGAGCCTTCGGGCACTTTCTTGCTCCAAATGAATATATCGATCATAGACCTTAGGTCTGCGGCAAAATGGACTGTCGAAACTATGAACTGCATGGTTGCAGCACCATGGAGGACCCTAGGTTACCAAGAAATCAGAATTGAACTTGTTGGGATAGCAATCCCGAGCGAGTACGAGAATGTACTCGAAGATACGATACCAATCAGTGGCAGCTGACTTGGATCATGATCCGGACTTATTTAGTATTTCATAGAAAGATCTTGAAGTAATACAAAATGTATTTAAGTAGAACATCTCTCTCTCGAGAGGCTAATTCTAATCCTCTGTACATTACTCTGCTCTCTACTTACAACAGGTTATGGGCCCTGGCCATAACTGAACTTATGTTGCTACTCACTTTGCACTCTTTCGTACTTTACATACACATGTAGAACCACATGGATAGCCAGTCCGTGTATAGGATTGACCCCCTTAAGGGTCCGGAAAATTACCCGACATGGAAAATCAAGATGATTGATATCCTAACTGATTTAGGATTAATTGATTATGCAGATGGAAGCATTTCAGCCCTGGCAGACATGACACTGGTGGCAGATTGGAAGAAGAGTGATAGGAAGGCTCTTTCAACAATAAGATTGCAGGTTTCAGATGGCCCACTGATATATATTGCTGGTTCAAAGACTTCAGCAAAAGCCTGGAAAGCTCTGAAAGATATGTATGAGTCCAGGGGACCCATGGGAATTGTCCTTGTCAGAAGAAAATTCTTCAGATCTCAGTGTGAAGAAGGAGAAAACATAGAGGAGCATATTAGGACTATGAGGTCCTATCAGGAGGAGCTGGCATCTCTCAAGCAGAAAGTTGAGGAGAAGGACTTCTCTATTACACTGCTTACATCACTCCCAGAATCATGGAATTCATTCATCTCATCAGTGGATACTGCTGACTTGAAAGATTCTTACAAGTTGATTTCCCAAATTCTTCAGAAGGATATTTGATTAAAGGAAAAGACTTCTGATCAGACCATGACACTTGCAGCACATGGCAAAAAGTCCAATCTGAAAGTCACATGTTATGAATGTGGGAAAACTGGTCACATCAGGACAAATTGCCCGAATAGGAAGAAGAATTCCAGAAAGTCATGAAAAGGAAAGAGAAAGGGCCAGACCCAGGCATATATTGCCAAATCAGACTCAGACTCAGAAGACTATGTATTTTGTGCAACAGATGTCACACTTATCTCACTCTCAGGAGTATCATGGCTAGAGAACTCTAGCACCATCAGACATATAGTTAAAAATAGATTATATTTTTCTGACTATGTTGAAACTCCAGGACATAAAGTCATTAGTGTAGGCAAATCCAAAGGTCTGAAAAGAGGAACTGTCAAGATTAAAATGGTTGAAGGAGAAAAGATCACTTCAGTCACATTAAAAGAGTATATCCACTGTTCTGATGCACTATTCAATCTTATGTCAATAGGGTGTATTACAGATGCTGGATTTGAACTCAAATTCAAAGAGTCCAGAATGGATATTATCTCACTACATGGCAAGATAATTGGCCATGGAGATAAAATATCAAAGCTGTATAGCCTTGACATTATTATTCCAGAAATAATCCAGGCCCATGCTACAAAATCAGTCCAATCATGATAAAGGTGGCACAAAACATTAGGCCATTTAAACATGGGATCAGTAAAGAGACTATTTAGGAAGAAAATGGTCAAGGGGATGGATATAGATGAGTCAGCTAAGCCTCAGACAGATTGCATAGCTTGCATAAAAGCCAAACATCATATCAAGCCATTTCCACAGGAAGCCAAAAGAGACTATACTGAAATAGGAGAAATGACATTTTCAGATCTATAGGAGCCAGCTCAAACTCAGGGTATCCATGGTGAAAGATATTACATAAGCTTCACAGATGGAAAATCCTGAAGGACAATATTGTATTTTTTGAAGTCAAAGCAAAACATAAAATTTCAAAAAAAGATCCAACAGCATCAAAAATACATCAAAGTCCATAAAGAGAAGGATCTGAAGTTTATGAGGATTGACAATGAAAAGGAATATGTCAATGAAAAGGTAAAAAAATATCTTCAGGACAATAACATACAGTTAGGATTGACTGCAGCATACTCCTCATCTCAAAATAGAGTTGTTGAGAGAATAAATTGGACTTTTGTAGAGCATGCATATGCCATGCTAGAAGAACATTACTTACCAAAGTTTCTATAGCCTGAGGCAGTGGCATATGCCACATATCTGAAGAACCAATCATCAATCAGAGCTATTAAAAATGATCTAACCCCAGAAAAAGTGTTTCAGGGCACAAAACCAGATATTTTGGCACTCCAGAAATTTGGAGTAAAGTGCTAGGTGTTGCAGCAAGATAACAAGAGGTCAAAACTGGACTCAAAGTCAAGGAAATTTATTTTTACAGGTCTTACAGATGAATCCAGGGCCTGGAGATATTACAACCCTCAAACAAAGCAGATTCAGACCTCAAGAAATATTATATTCTCTGAAAGCAACACTACAGAGCCTATAGACATTGACTATATAGTCTCTCACCCTTCATTGCTCAAGAAGGAGTTAGAGAGCAAAGTTGAGCAGACTCTAGATGGAAATGATGGCATTTCAGATGATTTCATGGATGCCAGAAATGCCAAACCAAAAGAGGAAACAGCCTCTGATATGTCATTGATCAAATCAAAGTTTCTAATATAGCATGGGAAAGTGATCAAGCCACATGACAAATCAGCTCAGATTGCATCAAAGACCCAACTGAGCTATCAGACACTTTATAATCCAAGTGCACAAGCTGTGAAAACATCAGAACAACAGTATACCTCAGAAGAATCATCTTTGGAAGCTGTAAATGTTGCAATAGACTATGCATGCATTGGAGAAACTGCAGACAATCTCAGTGATGAGCCATTAAGCCTTGAAGAAGCCAAGACAGGGTCAGATTGGCATCATTAGAAGAAAGTAATAGATGAAGAATACAATCTATTGACTTCTCTAGGCACATGGCAGCTGAAAGAATTACCCCAAGACAGATCACTTGTGCATTGCAAGTGGATTTACAGATTGAAAAAGAATGGTGATGGGAAAATCATCAGATACAAGGCTAGACTTGTTGCAAAAGGATTTTCACAGGTACCTGGCATTGATTTCTTTGAGATATATGCACCTATTGTCAGGCTGGACACATTCTGCCTGCTTATAGCAATTGCTGCCCCAAAAAACCTAATCATTTATAGAATAGATGTTGTTGGAGCTTACTTAAATAGTAAACTCAATGAATCCATTTATATGGCACAGCCACCTGAATATTCAGATGAGAGTGGAAAAGCAGCACACCTCAAATTAACATTGTATGGACTCAAGCAATCTGGCCAAGTTTAGAATAATAAATTAAATGCTATATTTTTGAGACTTGGATACATCAGATTGATCAGTGATCAATGTGTGTACATCAGACAAATGAGTTCTGATCCCATAATCATAGCTGTACATGTTGATGACATGATATTGCTTGCCTCAGATAATGAAACCATGTCTAAAATGAAAGAAGAGCTTAAAAAGAAGCTAAATGTTACAGACATGAGAGAGATTCAATATATATTGGGCATGAAAATAGACAGAAATTGGAACAAGAGCACTATCACTCTATCCCAGAAGACATATATTCTCAAAGTACTTGAGTGAATAGGTATGAATAACTGCAAACCAGTTAAAATGCCTATAGACCTGAATGTATGGCTAGAGAAAATTCTAACAGAAGACTCATGAGGTGTTGACACAGCCACCAGGCAATATTATCATACTGGTGTCAGATCACTAATGTATGCAGCCAATGGATCCTGACCTGATGAAGAGGATCTGAGTGTGTGCAAGGTGAAAATGGATACAGCAGAGCATTATCCACTGACTACATTCACACTAACACACACACAAAACTCTTAGTTCATAAGGGGATTATAATGTGATAAAAGTAGCAATCAACCAATATAATTGTCTTCTTTAATAAGATCACAGTGCATGAACAGTAATAGCATGCTTACAACAGTCTGAGGTCTCTCTAAGTCTCAAAGCTTTTCATTTTATCAGAACAAGAGATGCAACTGGTGTTGCTGGGCCTCAAGGCAAAGAGTACTGCAGCTCAATACAATATGTCGAAACACTCTCACAAAACTCTTCAAAAAGTCCTAAGCACAGCTCAGATCACCTCAAAATCTCTAACACACACAATATATGACTCAAAGCCTCATGCTGTAAGCAAAAACCAATTACAAGCATGTCCACAAGTGCCAAAGAGTACAGATCTCTGTCCACAAGTTTCCAAACCGATTGTAGACCCACAGGATTCAAACCTATATGATCCAGAGACACAAAACACAATAAAACACCATCCAACAGACTAAAGGGTTTGAACCTCTGCCAATCTGCAGAAATAACACAAAAGCACACACTAATCAAGCCAAAGGGTTTGAACCTCTGCCATCTGTAGTGCCATGCATCACAAATACCTCAAAAACTCAAGATGATGCCCTTCAGACACTGCTCTCTTATTCTCAGATTAGAGCACAATCCAAAACCTCTTATC